TCAACACCCACACCCACTAGCCCATCCACAGGGACCCCAGCCACCACACCAGAGACCTCAACACTCACACTCACCACCACAGCCACAGAGACCCCAACACCCACACCCACTACTACAACCACAGTGACCCCAACACCCTCACCCACTACTACAATCACAGTGACCCCAACACCCTCACCCACTACTACAATCACAGAGACCCCAACAGCCACACTCACCACCATAAGCACAGAGATCACAAGTCCCACATCTACCACCACAACCACAGTGACCCCAACCACCACACAGGAGACCCCAACACCCATATCCACCACCAGAACCACAGAGACCACAACACCAACACCTACCACCATAACTACAGTGACCCCAACCACAACAGAGACCTCAACACCTACACCTCACACCACAACCACAGAGACTACAACATCTACATCCACCACCACAACCACAGAGACTACAACACCCACATCCACTACTACAACCACAGAGACTATAACACCCACATCCACTACTACAACCACAGAGACTATAACACCCACATCCACTACTACAACCACAGAGACCACAACACCCACCCCCACCCCCACCACAGTAACTATGTTGACCTCCACCACCTCACCAGAAACCTCTACACCCACATCTACCCCCACAAGCACAGAGACCACAACACCCACATCCACTACTACAATCACAGAGACCCCAACACCCACACCCACCACCACAACCACAGGGACCCCAGCCTCCACACTAGAGACCTCAACACCCACACCCACCACCACAGCCACAGAGACCACAACACCCACATCCACCACCACAGAAACCCCAACACCCACGCCCACCACCATAATCACAGTGACCCCACCCATCACAACAGAGACCTCAACAGCTACACCCACTACAACCACAGAGACCACAACACCCACACCCACTACTATAACCACAGAGACCACAACACCCACTCCTAACCCCACCACAGTAACCATGTTGACCCCCACAACCACACCAGAAACCTCTGCACCCACATCCACCACCACAAGCACAAAGACCACAACACCCACATCCACCACCACAAGCACAAAGACCACAACACCCACATCCACCACCACAAGCACAGAGACCACAGCACCCACATCCACTACTACAACCACAGAGACCACAACACCTACATCCACCCCCACCATAGTAACCACGTTGACCCCTACCACCACACCAGAAACCTCTACAACTACACCTACCACCACAACCACAGAGACCACAACACGCACACCCACTATTACAATCATAGAGACCACAACACCTACACCCACCACCATAATCACGGTGACCCAAACCACCACACCAGAGACCTCCACACATACACCTACCACCACAACCACAGAGACTACAGCATCCACACGCACAACTACAGCCACAGTTACCACAACACCCACATCCACTGCTACAACCACAGAGACCACAACACCCACCCCTACCCCCACCACAGAAACCACATTGACCTCCACCACCTCACCAGAAACCTCTACACCCACATCTACTACCACAGGCACAGAGACCACAACACCCACATCCACCACCACAACCACAGAGACTCCAACACCCAAACCCACCACCATAACCACAGCGACCCCAAACACCACACCAGAGACCTCAACACCCACATCTACCACCACAACCACAGAGACTACAACACCCACATCCACTACTACAACCACAGAGACCACAACACCCACCCCTACCCCCACCACAGTAACCACGTTGACCTCTACCACCACACCAGAAACTACACCCACATCCATCACCACAACCACAGAGACCACAACAC